GAACCACCGAGACCAAGCCCGAGAAAGAGAGGAAAGCGAAGGAGAAGAAGCCTAAAGGCAATCTCAAGGATGTTATCACTATTGTCGACATCAAGTGGCAAGAGAGCTGGCTTTGCATGGTCAACCCGGGCGCCTGGCGCCGAGTTATCATGAATCTCTTTGGCAACGCCTTGAAGTATACCGAAAAAGGCTGTATCCGACTGCGCATGGAGAACAGCAGCATGCTCCTCGAAAACGAGAAAGTCCCTGCTGTCCGGATCGTCATCACGGATTCGGGTCGCGGGATGTCCGAGGATTATATTCTGCATCACCTGTACACGGCATTCGTCCAAGAAGACACCATGTCCCCTGGACTAGGCGTGGGTGTGCACATTGTGAATCAGATCGTCAAATCTATGTCTGGTCAGATCGAGTTCAACAGTGAGCTTGGTGTTGGAACCGAAGTCAGTCTGCTGATTCCGATAACCATGATCACCGACAAACCGGCGACATCGTTGGCTTCGTCGAGGTACGAGACCCTCAAGAAGAGGTTGCACGGCCGCACTGTTGCACTGTTCACGAATACTTTCCGAGCCAACGACCTAAAGGTGAAACCGGAGTTTGTGGACAACATCGTGACCAACCTTCGTAAAATGATCAGCGACTGGTTTGGCTTGCAGGTGTTGACGGCGGACGAGCTGGAAGGACAACCGGCCGATATCAACATCATCACCCAGGATGAGTACAGTCGGAATTACAACCCGGAGGCCACCGGACCTGGCGGCCTTTCCCCATCAGTCTCAGTCAGTGTAGGGTTCCCATTGATCGTGCTGAGCGCGAACGCTACCAAGGCGGCTGATCTCCGGAGCGACCGGGACGACGTTGTCTTTTTCTACCAACCGTAAGTGACTTATGATCTATGCCTTATCCTATCGAGTGCTGACAGGTGGTTAGTGTGAGCCCCAAGAGTCTGGCCACCGCGTTCGAGACGTGCCTTGACATCAAGGAACGTTCTGGAGACAACACTCCTGCACGAATGCAGTCAACGCCATCTCCTCCTCCTGACGCTCAGATCCAGCTGCCAGAGCCTGCAATGAATGGCTCCAGGCCCCAGTCTGCCGAGACCCAAGACTCAGTCAACAAGAAAATGGCGTCTCCGCGAGACAGTCCGATGGTGGATGATGTGAATGGTGTGGACGATCAAGCGACCGAGCGACGGCAGCCAATGTCCGGATCCGGACCCCGCAGGGTCCTTCTCGTCGAGGACAACGCTATCAATCTCCAGGTACGGTGCTTCCGCTTCTGTTCTACATAAAAGATACTAATCTGGTCCGACAGCTTCTTGAAATGGCCGTCAAGAAGTCCAAATTCCAATACCATTCGGTGTCCAACGGGCTCGAAGCGTCTGAGGCCTTCCGACGCTTGGCATTTGATGCCGTGGTGATGGGTACGACTCGTCTCCTCCCCATGTTGAGAGGTGCATCCCACTAACAAGTAGCAGACATCTCAATGCCGGTCATGAATGGGCTGGAGGCCACCCGCAAGATCCGGCAGTGGGAGCGAGCTCACCATTTGGAGCCTACGGTCATCATCATCCTCACGGCGGGGGTGTCGCCGGATATCCAGCAAGAGGCGCGAGCCAGCGGAGTGAATCTGTTCCTGATGAAACCGATCTCGATCGCCAAGTTGCAGGGGGTTCTGCGCGACATGCCCGACGCGAAGAAGGGGGCCCTCTTTTAAGCGGGTCTAGGTGTTTCTGGACTGGAGTCGGGGGGCAGCGTGGGGCGTTATTGGTCTTTGTGTGGTTGATATGCATGGCATGCATGGGAAATGACTCACCATACTACGAGTATACGATTTTTTGATGTATCAGCGACGAAGATAGGATAGACGAGACGATACCTACGGGATTTTAGTTTTCTAGCATTGACTTGTGAATATTCAGACGGACGGAATATAATGATTATTGGCCTACATACAAGATTGCCCGCTCCACAAACACAAACAACAAATCCAGCCGAGTGAAGGCCAACTTTCACGCCCGATACTCAATCTTCAACACCCAGCAATAATGCTCCCCCTCCCACGCCTCCAGCGGCACATCGAACCTGAACCCGCCTTCGACCTTCTCCCACTGCACCTCCCAATCCTTCACGGTGTCATCACCCGTCAAAACCACCACCCGATCCCCGCCCAACAAAGGCAACGGCGCCTCGACCACCACCTTCCCCTCCCTCAAAACCGGCTCCTCCACCCACAGCACATAAAACGCGTCCTCCGCCTGCGTGAACCTCACGGCCCCGGCATTCCCCTCCGCCATGACAAACCAATACCTCGTGGCAAACACCGCCTCCGCATGCGCGGTAATCCACCGCCCGGCCTCCCTGAGATTGCGCTCCTCGGCCTCGACAATCGTCCCATCCGCCCTGGGGCCGACATCCAACAAGAAGTTTCCATTCTTACTGACGATATCGACGAGGTCGCGCACGATGGTCGACGCATTCATGTACCCGTCCGGCGGGGTGGCGCGGTTATACCCGTAGCTGTAGGGGTCCATGCCCATGTTGGACTCCCACTTGCGGCGCTGGGCGGAGCTGAAGGTGGCGTACTCCGGGGTGTCGAAGTCGGCGGCCTGCGGGATGCCGCACCGGGAGTTGATGGCGACCTGCTTGGCCTGGTTGAAGAAGCCGGCGGCGAAGACGGGGGTCGCGTTGGCGGCGCCGCAGTCGCACCACATGATGTCCGTGCCGTAGGTGTGGGCCAGGGTCTGCATCTGCGGGAGGAGGAGGGAGTCGATGAAGTTGCCTTCCTGGACTTTTTGCGTTGTCATCATCAAGGTGTCGGTGGTGGTGGTGGTGGTGGTGACGTTGGGCAACGGGATCCGTCCCGTGTAGGGCTCGACCTCCCCCGTGAAGGGGTTCACGGCCGGGAGGCCGGGCCAGCTCGTCGAGCTGTTCCCGGGCAGCTGGGCGAAGCCATACGGCGCAAAATCCGGGTTGAACCACTCGGGCAAGGAGAAGTAGGTGCCGCGTTTGAGGTGCGGCTGGTGGGTGGCGGCGGCTGTGAAGAGCTCGCCGACCAGATCGCGGTGCGGGCCGTAGTGCAGGCTGTTGCGGTGGGTGGTGTTGCCGGTGTCGAAGAGGGCGAAGCCGTCGTGGTGCTTGGTCGTCAGCACGAAGTATTTCGCCCCGGAGGCGGCGATCAGGTCGACCCAGGCTTTGGGGGAGAAATGGGTGGCGGTGAAGTTGGCGAAGGAGTCGTCGTAGTTCCAGTCGCGGCCGAAGGTGCGCAGCCGGTAGGCTTGCGTGGAGGATTTGTCGGCGGCTGGGTGCGTCGTGTACCACCTTTTGTTTCTTTAGTGGGTGCTGGAGTGGTTCTTTGGGGGAAGGGGGATAGGGGTGGTGAAGGGGGAAAGGGGGTTGGAGGGTAAGATAGGGTAGGCGATGGGCAACGTACCAGAACCATTCGGCGTAACTCTCCCACGGAGTCGAGTTGCCCCAGCCCGGCACCGCGTACGGGCCCCAATGGATGAAGATCCCGAACTTGGCGTCGTCGAACCACTCGGGACTCTCGTGGCGAGCCAGGCTGGACAGGTCGGGGGTGTATTTGGTTAATCCGAGGGAGAGATCGACGGTCTGGGTGGTCAGAATATCACCCCTGTAGGTGATCTGGATGGTGGCCGTGCCGTTGGCGGTGCCGTGGACGCCCACGTTGACTCGTTTCTGATCACCGGGGCAGAGTCGCTTGATATGCCCGGGCTCAGCCATCGTGATGCCTGGCATCTCAAGCGTGGCTGTCAGTCCTGCGCCCGAGATGCATTCATTGCCCGGATTGTTGACTGTCAGCTCGACAATCTGGTTGCCCTGCTCCGTCCATTTCTGGGTGGGCCGCACGAACTGCACCTGCGCAGCCGCCGTCGAGGTCACTGGCCACAAGGACATTGCAAAAACGTGCAGTCGGCCCGTGGTGGCATTGGTCGTCACGGGGAGGGTGACAGACTGCAGGCTCTTGAGCGGGTCCAGCGCGGCGGTGTACTCGAAGATGTGTGAGGTGTTGAAATTGGTGTCGTTGGGTGTGTATCGGTAGGGGAAGATGATCTCGCCGCGATTGATCGTCAGAAAGGCCCACCAGGGGAGACTACGCAGCTCTGACACCACAGTGGTGTTGTCGCTATAGGTGTAGATCACGTCCCCGGAGACGGTTTCGAGCTCCACATCCGCTGAGACGAGCATCGAGGCAGACAGATACCGACCTTGGGGAACTGCGATGGACTGGCCGGCGCAGATGACATTGTCGGGCAGCCCAGCCTGGCGATATCCGGGGAAAGAGTAGGTGATGCCTGTCTGCGATGAGGTGTAGCTCCCGTTGATCCCCAGTACGCTGGGGTCGGGATAGGACTCGTTCGCTGCATTGAAGATAGCCTCCCCGGGGAACTGACCGAACGCCTTGTTGTTGAAGTGTGGCTTGAGTGAGACGGGGGTAGACTGGATTTATTAGAAAGCAGATTCACAAGGATCGTCAGTGAAACATACGGATGAATTGGTACGGGCAGCAGCAGAAGCGACCGACCCTGCGAGGGCCACCCAAAACAATGCTTCGTTCTTCATCGCGGTGATGCGGTGGAAGAATTGCACGCCGGAGGGGTTGAATTTGAACAACTGAGCCGACCTTGTGCGATATTGTTCCCCTCACCAACAATGCCACAGTGACATCGTCACTGGAGACACGGGAGCTGCCAGACCGCGCATGCGCAACGGTTATTGGAGGCGACAGGCGAGCTGCAGGGGACTAAATGATGCTAAGATGGCTAGGGGCGGGGAGGGCGTCGATAAGAAGAGGAGATGCAATTTAGGGCTTCGTTCCCCTCCCCGATAAGCCCGTGGGCCATGATAGTGCCTCGCACGACATCATGTTACATCGGCCGAGACGTGGGGCTACTAGTTAATGATTGTTGAGTAGATAAGAAGACGCGGCGGCAATTGGACTTGCCAAAGACTCTTCACTATCATACCCAACCCACCATGTGGTCGAGTCGGAACATTCTTGCAGCGCTGGCCTTGGTGCCATTGAGCGCTGCCTTCAACAACCCCCCCGGGGTGGACATCTGGTGTGGCAAGGCCTATCGCGCAAGGTAAATCACCTCCATCAGCTTCTGTCTCCACGTACTGACCCTGTACTGCAGCAATGCCTCATTCAATCCGGGAGGATGGTTTGAAGAGCCTTCACACTCCGCGACGCCTCTGCTCAACCTCAAGGTCCGACCCCGGATGAGCATCTATCTCTCCAACGACCCCAGCGGCAGTCTCCTGGTCGACACAAGCGTATCGCATCGCATCGGCGACCCCTTGCCCCTGACAGCAACAGCAAGCAGCAACCACAGCGCGCAGGCCTTGCACCTGCGCATTGATATCAGCGACACCAACGGGACAGCACTCACGTCCATCACCAACTACACCCTCCCACTGGACACGCGCAACAACGAGATCCCCATCCCATTGCAGGACTTTCCCGCCCGACTCCAGCCCTACACCGTGACCGTCCACGCCACTCTGCCCTCGTCCAACGCGACAAGCAAGAACCCAACAACCTTCACCAAAAGCACCTCACTGTACCGCCTCCCCCGACGCACCGACGGGGGCAGCGCCACGCGCATCGACAACCTGTATGGGGGGTTAGCCTACCAAACCAGCACGGAAGAGAGCTGGACCTCGATCTTCCCCTACACCTACTACGGTACAGTCCAGCTCCCACAGCACCTAACCCCAAGCCCCCAAGCCCACATCCACCCCCAACCACCAACTAACAACTCCCACCAGCCCAATGGACTCTCTACTGGGACACGAGCCCCACAACCCTAACAACCTTCACCTCGCAAAACTACAACGTAATCCACATCGTGCCGACAGGGGCCCTCTCCACCACAACAACCGCCTACCCGTGGACCACCCTCGACCCGTACCTCACCCTTGCCGACCACACGCACCTAAAATTCCAATACGACCTCCTCTTCGACCCCACCAACACCAGCACCATGCTCACGCAAGCCCAAGCCCTACACACACACCCCTCCCTCCTCCTCTGGTACCTGGCCGACGAACCCGACGGCAAGGCCACCCCGCCCACCACCCTCACCGCCGCCTCCACCACCCTCAAGACCCTGGACCCCTACCACCCGATCTCCCTGGCCCTCAACTGCGCCAACTTCCATTACGAAGAATACGCCTCCGCCGCCGACATAATCCTGTCGGACGTGTACCCGGTCGCGACGAACACGAGCTGGAGCAGCGTGTACGACACCCCGTGCAACGCGACCTACGGCTGCTGCGGGTGCGACGACTGTTCCGGAAGATTCGAGGACATCGCGGCCCGGCTGGACACCTTCCGGGGCTTCGACGAGGCCGTCGGCTGGGAGAAGGTGCATTGGGCGGCGCCGCAGGCGTTTGGGAACGAGACCTTCTGGACGCGCTACCCGTCCGCGCGGGAGGAGGTGGTCATGAATCTGCTGGGTGTCAATCACGGGGCGATGGGGGTCGTGATGTGGGATTTCCCGACCTCCGCGGAAATCAGTGCCGTCACTGGGGAATTGGCGGGGGTGGTGACTAGCGCGGAGATCACGGGGTTTTTGGTGGGGACGGAGCGGAGGAGGGTGGAGGTCGGTGGGGAGGGGAGGGCGAGGGTGGATGTGGCGGGGTGGGTGGATTGGAGGGCCAAGAGGGCTTTGGTTAGTGTCGTTAATTTGAAGTATGAGGATACTGTCGCGGAAGTGGTGGTTGGGGGTGCGGGGGATTGGGAGGTTAAAGCGGTCGAGAAGGTGGTTTGGGGAGAGGTGCAGTGGAGGGTCGAGGGGGGCAAGTTGGTCGTCGATGGGTTGGTTGGGTTGGAGGTTTCGTTGGTGATTGTGGAGTTGGTCTGAGGCTGTAATGGTGTTAAAGGTATAGTGACTATACAGTCTGAAATGAAATGTTGACTGTGTTGATCGGAGAATTGACAATATTAAGATTAGGACTGAGTCGAACTGCATTAGCACTAAACATATACAAAAGTCATGGCCGTGTCATCAAGAGCATCATCTTTCGAGTCGCCCTGATACGTGTGTATATATATGAGAAAAGACTACACAAATCATGTACCTCAGGCTAGAGCACCTTCACCCGCACCCCCTGCGTGTCCGGCCGCACGTGCGGCAGGAACATGTCGCGGTAGAGTTCCACCGACTCGCGCCCCGTCTCATACAGCTCAAACTCGAACCGGCGGTAGATGTTCGCCAGCGCAATGTACATCTCCGCGTACGCGAGATTGATGCCCAGGCACGACCGAGTGCCGCGACCAAAGGCCACCATGTAGCGTGACAATTTGCGGCCGTCGGGCGCCACCGGGTCCCCGAGCCACCGCTCCGGCTTGTAGGTGAAGGAGTCTGGGAAGATCGCCTCGTCGTGGTGCACGGAGTAGATGTCCATGCTGATGGCGGTGTTCTTGGGGATTACCCACGACTTGAAGCTGAGCGTGAATTTGTCCGAGATGCGTGGACCGCGTTGTACAACACCGTAAGACAAACGGATGCCTGCATATGTCAGCGAGGGTACAGAGAAAGGCTGCACAGTGGCAAGTAGGGGCACATACCCTCCTGGATACATCCCGTCAGGTACGGGAGTTTCTCAAGCTCCTGCAAAGGCGGCATGTTCGTGGGATCGGGAATCGCAGCCTTCAGCTCCTCGCGAAGGCGGTGATAGACTGAAGGCGTGCTCAGAATGTGGTAGCTGGCGACGGTCATCGCGAATCGGGTGGTGTCGAACCCGGCTCCAATGACAGTGAAAGCCTCATGATGCAGTCGCCGCAGGGTCTTGTCTTCGGGCGGCAGGTCCGAGTCCAGCAACGCGGCAAACACCGTGTTCCGATCGGCTTCCCGCGTCTTGCCCTGGGCTTTGATGGCGAGAATCTCCGCGATCTGGCTGGACATTTCCTGTTTCCCAGTCAGTATGCAACCGCACCCGTGGATATACAGCACACATACATGGTTGTAATGGTTCACCGACTTCATGCCCGGTCGGAACACCTCGACCACCTTTTCCGGAAGCGCATTCATGAGGGTGGACACCCAAGGGAAATGCGCGACCACGTGAACCACATCCAGCAGATCAACCATGGCCTGGATAAACTGCGAGCGGAAGTCGGGGGCTTCAATGAACTGGTACCCCCGGTTAAAGCAGTATTGGACGATGATGTCGGACGCAATGCATCCCCACATCCAGTCAAACCGCAGAACCTTTCCTGTGCCCTGATACTCCCGGCGGAGCCGGTCACAAAGTTTGTCCAGCTGCTCCTGCATCATGGGTGTGGCCTCGGTGATGGTGCGCTTCGAGAAGAACGCATTTAGAGCAGCCCGTCGGCCGTGGTGCACATGGTGCTTGGGGGTTGGAAAGAGCCCAGTATCATTACCGAACCGATGCTGCCAGTGCTCGAGTTTGTCCCACGGCAAAGATTGGGAGTAGAGATCCTCGAAGAAAAAAGAATCCTGGATGTGAATTTCATTCGGGCTGATTCGTATGATGGGTCCTACAGCCAGCACGGTCAGCCGAGGGGATATCGAATTGAAGATATGCTCCAGTACTAACCATACTGCTCGTGAAGCTTGCGGTAATGGAACAGAAACTGTCCTCCCGGAGACTTGAACACTTCGAAATATGTCTCATACCATTGGGTGAAGGCAGCGAGTTTGGGGCCCGGGAACTTGGCGAGCGGATGGAGGGTGATGCGATACAGCCCGAGAGCCAGGAAGTATACTAGGGAAAGAATCGTGGCAATGCCACATAACAGGAGGGGGGAGTCTACAAGAGACTTCAAAGAGACCACCAAGTCTTGAACCACACCCATGGCGTCGGAGGACAGGGATCAAGCAGCAAAAAGACACCAACAGAACACCAAGGGGGGAAGGGGATGGACCCGAGATTCTGGGACCAGGTGCAGATAAGTAATGTCGCCAGGCAGGCGCACTGGCATTGAGGGCGTAGGCCCTGTCCAGTGGCAGCCGTCATCGATGACCCGAGGGATTGGATCATGAGTCTTCACACGGTCCCGATGGGTTGGCTTGGACAAGAAACGAACCACCTACACTAGTCATGCCCAGTCGTACACACTCGATAAGTTCCAACTTAGTACTTAGAGTTGAGGGAGGGTCGTCATCTCCTTCCCTTCCTTCCTTCTGGGACAGGCCCGTGCGAACCATTGAAGCTGCCTACAAGGGCTAGACCGCCGGGTCGGGAAAGGCTCTTTTGCTTTCGGACTCCAGTAATAATAATTTTGGCCGGGCTGCAGAATTATGCAGACAGCAGCAGCAGTGCAGACAACGCAGTGCAGCCAGCACATTGCCTCGCCACCCGGGTTGTGGTTGGCTGCCAGCCCCAACAGTCGCTATTATTGTGTCCACTTTGTCAATGGCTTGCCATTGGCACTGCGGCAGTTCCATTTGGGCAACCATCTACTCCGTACCATCTCCAGGCTTCCACTCCGATGATCTTCTTTCATCACCATTCACTGTGAGCGAGTGTATCTGCGAACCCTGCTCTGTAATGCAGGCAAGGTCAATGAGCGGAAGATTGATGCGGGCTGGGATGGGAAATAGCGATTGCTCTACTTTGTTAGTGGCGGACGCCGTCTCCCGTCATTCCCGTCAGTTGCTGTTCAGTCCCAATACGGTGGACGGCGGGCCCGGGGTATCGCATATCCACTCTTCTGCACCGCACTGACGGGTGCTAACTTGCTAAACTTGAGGGTACCGTTTCCGGCATAATCCAATATTGACACACTGCACTGCAGTCAGTCCAAAGCAGAAGTTAGAGTAAATGGGTGTACCGGTAGATGCAGCACAACAGACAGCTGGGCTGAATAATTGTAGACTCTGCCGGGCGTGAGTGCGTGAATGATGCTCATCTCGATGATCGACTGCATTACCCATGACGGGTTCGAACACAGAATAATGCAATCTTGTCTCCTCGTCTCGAGTGGGCCCGCCCTTGGAGCTTCCATTCCTTCATCCCTTTTTCCTTTCCTTTCCTTTTTTTTTTTTTTTTTTTTTTTTTTTCCTTTAGCCTTTTTTATTTTTTTATTTTTTTTTTCTCCATCCCCCTCCTTCCCGTCAACCCCTCTCAGTCTCAGTTCAGCAGTTCTATCCCCGCTGGCTGGATACGAAAGTGGAGACTGCACACTGGGACTAGCGCCGGTAAGAGAGGGCCAGCAGAAACTTGCAGAATTGCCGGAAAGTGCAGAAAGTGCAGAAAGTGCAGCCAGTGCAGCCAGTGCAGTGCGTAGCAACACAGCAGAACTGGTTTATCGATTCCGGCGACGGGAGTCTGACTGGTTGCTTTTCCCCCTCATGGGCCCCATCGAACCATGAACTTTAATTGCTTCGCGGGTGCGACCAGAGACACTTGACTTTGACAGGACCTTCACCGTTTCATCCTCATCCTCCCTGTTTGACCCTCTCTAGTAGTCTCTACCCAGGGGAGAATGGAGGGAGATGACGGGACCAGGCTTCACCAGACACTCAATGCCTGCGAGACTGCTGCAGTAATGACACACTGCCGAAGTCCATGCCATGTAGGGGAAAAATAACTGTCTTGCAGGAGGTGGGTGGGAAGTGGATGGATGGACCCGACTGGAAAGGCCCATGCAGAGACGGATGAGGGCCTACGAACCCACTCACTGAGTTCACATCCGTCTTCCCCCCGAGGCAACCGGCGGATAACCACAGAACTCAATAATTCTGGTACGGGTGGTAAGCTATTGCAAGGCGATCATGAGAAACTCCCCCGTGATGGGATGTTTTCTGTCCTGTACTTTGGGGAGAAGAAGGTTGCCCATCGCGGGTCCAGCGACACGCAATGGTCCGACCGATACTATTCCATAACCGGCAGGATCCTGACAGAACTCAAGGGGAGAGTCAGTTCGCAACCTTCAGCTGCATTGGCAGGAGTGTAAAATATATGAATGGGTGATGGAGGGAATTTGACCCACCCAATCACTCAGTCGGCGATGCGTGGTTTGACCACCGCCCAGCATTCCTTTCACCCCCCCTTCGATCGGCAGCAATAGTCATGCACCCACCGGAATAGTGTGGTCATGGCAGCAGCCGTCCCAGCAGCGCGTCCGCCTGCAGCAGCTCTTCAGTCCTGGGAACCCAACCAAATCTGGCTTTCCAGTCGAGTTCGATAAGAGCACGGCTTGCCAATCGAAATCTAGCCCATCGCTCAAGCCACGACCTTCATCTTTCCCAATGAGGCGTTCCCGCGAACAAAGGTTGAGGGAGATCGCCATTCACCGCTGCCTTCTCGCGCCAGACGTTGTGTAATCACTCCCTGACTGGAATTGGGATATCGACGAACAGTCACGAATTGTAGCCAGAAAAATCATGAAACGCTGGATGGGATACCATCCATCCGATGACGCAGAACACAAAAGGGAGCCAACCCCCTCCCCCTGCAGAGATCGGACGAGAACGCCAACGGTCGGCGGTCGGACTGGTTGCGAAGAGGCTTCCATGGTGGTTCGGCGACCACTAGAAGCCAGCTAGCAGGTTAGTCTAGCACCCATGTCGCCAACGGACAAGCCAACGAGGCGTGTCGTGCAGAGGCCCTGTCCACTTGCTCGGGCCCCCTGGCCTGCAGGGCCGGTGAATTAATCCCGGAGCCCGTCGGAGACGCACCCCCGTCTCGTCTCAGACTGTCGTTCTCCACGAGCACAAATCTTAGTTGCGTCCATATTCTCACCTGGAGGCCGGAAAGTGTTGCGTGGTTGAGCTAACATTTCAAAATCATGCTTTTATCCCGGTCGGATCGCCGCGCTTGTCCTCCCGAGACGAAGCCCCCGACCAGGGTAATGTCGACATATAGTATCGACCGTTTGGCGGACCATCTTTGTCTGTGGTCCAGGTGAGCAGGCAGGTGCGATGCTAGCATGGTTGCAGGCCACGAAGAACTCAGAGTATCATGGATAAGCTTCTCTGAACAGATATTAGCGGGGGTCGCCAGCAAAAGGATCTGGCGATCGGCTTGAGCCATTTACCTCGATCAATTCTTCAATGATGTGGTCGCATTTTGACAATGTTGCTTGTTTGTCGGTCTCACGGCGATCACTGTTTTTGAGAAAGACTTAGCATTCATTGAGAGTAGGGTCTCTACTATTGAAGAGATGCGGTGCAGCCTTCCTGGGTTCCTCGCAATGAAGTTGGGAGAACCGCTCTCTTGATTGTGAGGGTGTTATCGTGCTGTAAAATGATGAGATGAGCAGGAGCCAGACAAGAGAATCACATCTTCATCTGGACAGGCAATCGCCGGCGCGTTCTTGCTCGCGATCCGAATGCGCAAGTTGGTGGTACATACAGTGTTGAGAGGAAGGAAGAGGTGGTCCGGGCGAATGGCCGTCAACAATGGTGGACACCGGAAATTTCAGGCTCGAGTCGAGCACTGCAAGTGGATGGAACTTCGTCCCTGCAAATGACTCAGCCAATAGTTCGACAGGCTGAAAAAAGAACCCCTTTCACTGCTGTCAAACTGCTTCAGGTTCACTCTTCTTCAGCGTCATCTTGAGACACAAACATCGTGCTCCAAATCGATGTACAGTACGCACTGCACCAAAACCAAGTCAAGCACTACGATCGAAGTTTGATACCAGGATGATCCTCTTCATTTCAGGCTTTCAGGTTGTATTTCTCGATCGGAAAGTACTAGTTATTGGATTAAGCTTGGGGTCCGCCGCGGCGAAAAGTCAATAGACTTGTCGTCAAGGTCGCGCAAGCAAGAATGTGTGACATTCAGATCTTGATCTGCTCTGGTGGTTCCAGGATTGAGAGAAACATGTGAATTCGGTCCTTGTTGAATTTCATGTCTTGTGGGACAAGCCACCCTGAAAGACAATTCTATCAGAGGGATATATCTACGAGGCGAGCCTTCTGGCCTTTCAAGATTGACCCTTCGTCAACAGCATGTCAGGAGTGTGATTGCTATTTCTCACCATCAGATCATGCGCATGCATTTTGTTCCATCAATGACAATGTCCCTCCCATCTTGGAGATTGTATCTCGAGCTCACACGCCTGAATCATCCTCTCGATGCACTCGTGATCTACCTGCCATGCGCTACCGGCGTCGTCCACGCCGCCGCTGTCTCCCACCGGCAGACCCTTCCGCTGCCCCTGGTACTTCAATGCCTGCTCGGATGGCTCCCGATATCGGTGCTCCAGACGAGCTTCGCAAACACCATCAACGATATCCTCGACCAAGACCTGGACCGGAAGGTGCCTCGGTGCCGGAATCGGCCTCTGGCTCGGGGAGCTCTGTCCACGACCCAAGCCAGTCTCTTCGCTGCGATCCAAGCGGTAGCGCTCGTTCTTCTCTCCATATGGGCTCTTCCCCGCGCCTCTCGCATCTATCCCATCGCGACTGTTGTCAGCAGCTGTGTCTACCCCTTTGGGAAGCGCGTCACCAACTATCCGCAGGCCATTCTCGGGGCCATCTTCGCCGCGGGCTTCCTCTGGGGGTACGAGTCCACTGGGCTGCGCCTGGCATCCCAAGCGCTGATGGTGAAGATCTCCACGGGCAGCATGATGGGCGTCCTGTGCTTGTGGGTCGTGATGCTCGACGTCATCTACGCATTTCAGGACGTCGCGGATGATCCCCGCGCCGGGGTCCGGGGCATGAGCGTGCGATTCCAGAACTCGAGTCGATGGCTCTTTACGGTCTTGGGGACCATGTACATGACACTTCTCTTGGTGAGTGGAGTTGCTGCAAGTCTGGGCCGGAATTTTGTGGTTGTTGCCGGGTGCGCGGCGACAACCCTCGTCGTTAATCTGTGCTGGGTGGATGTCACGTCTAGGGCGAGTTGCCGGTGGAGGTTCAGGCGGGGGTCTCCGTTGATGGCGGGGATTGTGTTTTTGGGTCTGTTTGGGATTGCGTGTCAGAGGGGTTCGTAGGTGGAACAGCTGCTGCGTCCACATGTTCGGTGCCGGTGGAGAATACATGCACCTGCAGCTCTCTGCAACTGCGTTCCTGCTCTAGGGCAGCAATGGAAACAGAACTCTTTGGAATGCTATATACCTTTATCGCGAAACCAACCTACACCATCGTATACAATCAGCACATATGCCATACCACAACTACCAACTCCTCTCCACCCGCCCCAGTTCCCCCCTCCAATGAACCTGACATCAACCACCCAAACCTACCCCCTCACCCTCTTTCCCCTCAGAAACTCATAATCCGGCATGGCCTCCTCAACCGCGCGCTCCAACATCGCGGCAACCTCCTCCCCAAACTCCCCCCTCCACTTCATAACCTCAGCCCTTACATCCACCGCGGCCGGCGTCTTCTCCTTCATCACGCCGGACGACCCCTCCAACGTGGACAACATAATCCTAGCCGCAGCATAATAATCCCTCTGCTCCTGGGTCAGCACCCCCTCCTCCTCCTCCTTCTTGCCCCTGCGCTGATGCGGCTCGCCCACGCCCCACTCCCACTTGACCACCCCCTCGTCCAACCCAGCCAACCGACAAAACCGCCTCACCGCCGCCGGCTCATGAATCAAATCATGGGCATCAAGCAGCAGAACCTCCTCCCCGGGCTTCTGCCGCAGACACCACTCGACCAACCCCCTCGTCCACCGCAGGGACATGTTGGTCGCCAGCGTGCCGCGCAGCGTCTCCTCGTCATCGACCAGATACCCGGTCTCGCCGACCTTGCGCATGGCGCGGTAGAAGCTCGGGAACGCGAGGGCCGGATGCCGGATGATGAAGGCCAGGCGCCAGGTGCGGAGGTATTCGTCGGGGAAGATGGTTTCGTTGCCGGACGAAAACGTGGCGGTGGCGGGTGGGCCGTAGGTTTCGGGCAGGGGCAGGCGGAAGAGGGTCTCGTCTGCTTCTCTTCTGTCCTCATCGTCCGAGGCCGACTCGTCTGGGTCGGTCGGGTGGAAGGAGACCGGGTTGGCGAACCAGAAGGCGTGTTCTTTGGCGAAGGCCCGTTTGCCGTTCGTGGCGGCCTCGGCGGAGAAGGTCTCCAGGGCGTCGAAGCACGACTGGAAGACGGAGCGGACTTGCGCCACGGTGGCGGGGGGCCAGGTGGCCGGCGGGGTGGTCAGGACGCTGCTCTGCGCGGCGGCTGTGAAGGCGTCGAAGAAGAAGTAGCCGCCTTTGTTGTTGGTGTGGAGGGTGGGTTGGGAGTGGATGTTGAGGACTTTGAGGAGCAGGTTGGAGGCGGTGCGCGGGACGCTGACCAGGAGGAGGCGTTGTTGGTCTGTGGGGTCGGTTTTGGTCATTTTTTTCCTGTTTTGTTGGTGCTTGGAGTTCAATATTTGGGTCGATTGTTTGCAGGGTGATTGATTAGATCGATTGCGCTGCAGGATCGCTGGATTGACAGCCAGTGGGCGGGAGCTCGGGTCACAGGTTAAGCTTAAGTGAGGGTGTGGGCAATGAGAACCTCAGAAGATGAGGACATACCGGGGCCCGATGGCGTGATTTCAGCCTCTACTTATAGTTCTTTAGGCTTGGGGGCTTAGACTAGTTGGTTAGTGGTTGTTGATGGCGCATGGACTACTGGAGTATAGTCTGAGAGTATACACTATACCTCAGAAAAAAGCCCTCATTGTACAGTACACATAACCCCTCAATCGGCCCACCCTCTCGACGAACTCGCGAAACTTGCCTCCATCCCTGCTCGACCTCCGACAGTGGAGGCTCAACACGGGTAACAGGCTCGATCATTGGCTTGCAGTTGGCGATCGGCAAGGATTGTGGCTGTTAGGCTGTCAGAATTAGTAACGGTCTCGGTCGCTCGGCTTTAGGACTGTCCGATTGACAGCGAGAAAATACTCGGTAAATGTCAAGCACTGAGGGCTGGGATGTGGTGACAGATGCAGATCATCCCGGTCACGTCCCCACTAAACTTGTCCCAGTTGAGGCAGAAAGCGTAGAGGTCACCATGTCACTCGCGGGGATTGGTTGGGGTGGGGAGGATAGTGCTTGTCCGAGGTTTCACAAGATGAATGGAGATTGGACTGGGGTCTTGGTGGGTGGGTTCGACTCCGACGGAAGACTCGGGCCCGCAGCAGTTGTTGAATGAGGGGGTTGCAGTTCGAGTGGAACCGTGCATGTCAAGCTAGGGTAGGGTCGGATAGTCTAGGGGCTGGGAAAGCCTTGACCATCCTCTGGGGAAGAGATACGCAAAGTGCTTATCGGTTGGTGTTTCATCTAGAAGAGCAAGCATTTGATAGCATTTGAAACACTGCATCGTCGCATTACAATCAATGCATGCAGGATCAAGACGTGGGGAATCGGTATGACCACTTGCTCGCAGATAACCGGGTTTCCACATGAGCAATTGCTCAACCCATGTTGAACTTGATGACATGATGATTGCGTCTGGCCTGAACGACATACCATACAGCTAGGCTGATTGTTGCACAGCTCTACCGTTGCTACGTTTCGTGGTCATTGGAGACGGCAACGGTGAAACCACCTTCTGCTTCTATTACCGTTCTCGGCTTATCCAGGTACCATCCGGAGCAAGATTGCAACTTTATATGCCTGGATTTCAAAGTCCATTTTGAGTTTAGACGAAACGGGCGAACCTGCGGCCTAAGGCTGGACGCTATAGCATGGCACTTACCTTAGCGGTCAACCTGCGCACCAAAAGTCCGGATCCACGGCCAGAAAGAATCATACATCGGTTGTTGACTTCACAGCTCCTCCCCCCCTTTCATCCAGCTCAATACTCTCCCTCGTCACAGAGATCTGGACACTTTTCATAATAGCGTTGGTCCGTTTAAGCAGACACGGAGTCTTGGATGATGAAGCCGAGGCCGATGTACCTTGTAGGATTGGCTCGCGGTCCGTACCATTCCTCCTTGGCTGAAGAGATGGGTCTTTGATGTGGCGCGACAACTTCCACGCCGTGGGCGCTGTTGGCCCACTGTTACTGTGAGATCCTGATATTTCTTCTGTGTAGGCGAAGCCTTGGTCGTCTTCGTACACCGCGACAAACAGCTTGAGAGACGATATTGTCAAGAGTACGATGCTGAGGCTCATATGAAGCTCTGCGGTAGTGGTGGCGTAGGCTCCAAGGAGGGTAGGATCGGACGAACGGATCTGTCTCTGAACGAGATACAAGTGGACAGCGGAGAGAGGTATCAGTCTGTACAAGAGTATAAGCGGAGTGTGCTTCAAAGAAAAGACGATCCACGGACATATTGCGGAAGCTGAGAATACCCAAGACTATCATCTTTTTCCTTGGGGATATCTGGACATTCAGGATGATCACCACCGGGTAGGACAGAATGAACGCTTCGAGGATCATGTCGAGCGCACTGATTGCTCGCCAGCGTGGCAGCTATTAAGAGTATCCAGTTAGTATTCATTTATCTCACACTATTCCAATCATACTCGACTCACAAGGCCTGGACATTCATGGTCGATGTCGACCCAAGGATTGCTACTGCATCGAATGGCTAACAGGAGCATTGCCAGAAGCGTCCACAAGGTACATGCCACCAGAATAGACTTGATCATCCATTTGGTCCGAGGCAACGAGAGGTTTTGGTAGAACAACATTGTGCATATCTTCGATAGCCCTAGGATGAGCACATACAATAGGTCTGCTGCATAGCCGGCCTAGTGCATAAGAGACGTGGGGGTTAGTCACGATACTGGTAGAGCACATATGTGTACGTACCTTGAGCATAGAGGAGGAGTCCGCAGAACGAAGTATATCTTTCGACTGGCCCCACCCAAAGTGAACTTGGACCAGCACCAAAGACACTTGCGCGCAGGCGCATGCCTAAGGGAGTTGAATATCAGTCAGCGAGCCAGCGGGACAAGAGCTTCCGGTGGGGTTGTTTCAGCACAGCTGCAACCTTACCACAACTACAAACAGAACATAATCATCACGTAAGAGAATGCTTCGCTTCGAGGATGCGAACATCCGGATTCCGAGGGACGCCAAGACGAGAAAGAGTCCCAGGGACGTGATGATGACAATCAGGCCGGTATGATTATGCTCGTTTTCTTCGGTCAGGGGAGAAGAAACCCCGGGGGGCAGAGACGAGGAGCGAGTGGCCATCGGGGAGGAAGCTATCGCGAAATCAAGCTGAAGAACTGGAAGAACGGAGGTTGCATCGCTAGGACGAGTATATCAACAGGCACCTCCAAGAGGAGGGACTGTATTGAAGCATGTTGAAGGAGACCAGCAACGTATCGAGAGCATAAAGGTCAGCCTAGCTGGCGACGCCAATGACTTCTTCACATCATCTTTTTGCTTTTGCTCCTCTAGGAAATTGCGAGGTGCGACTGAGCAGAGATGACCCTTGCAACCCTGTCTGACACCCTGCCATGATTGCTACCTTTGGCGCCTATCGGCTGTCTGCATCACCGCCTTCGAGGATTTCTTCCTGATGAAGCTGAACGTACATTTGGGGAAATTGGTCCAGATTTTGATCCCTTTCCCGCAATGGACAGGCGGTCCTGCTGTCTCGGACAATAGCTAGCGTGGCTTTATGCATACTTTGCCACTTGACCACCGGTCGCAAATCATGAAACCGAAGGTACATGAGGGCAGTCTAACGCCATCGCATATCCCTTGAGGAATTGGAAAACCGACTGGACGAAACCTCTTATTGACTTGTTCAATCTCTTCAATTCCGCCGAGGCAGCGCTCGTCCACTCATGAGTTCCCGTGTCACTCAATCTTGACTGACGTGATGGGAAATGATGACTGCCGTCGTCCTAAGGCCCAAACCTCGTATTTCATCTATCGGAATGTCTCGGGGTGTAGTATCAGCCACGATTGTGGCCTTGTATGATGCTTCCACGGCAGTCCCCAGGCTGCAATTGTAGCTTCAAGCCGGTCACAGCCAGATGAGCTTCCTTGATGTGCCAAACACCGGGCGTGTCTCGTAGTGGTGACAAGAGAGAGAGACCAATTGGAATTGCGTGGCCAAAAGTACGTTACACGACTTTCCAGCGCGTTGTCGACCTCGTTTTCCCTCCCGCCATGAGATGGGCTCACGTGGTGGTGTCAAGCATGCTTTTCCTCCGTTGTGTCCTGCACCGGTCGGTATCCCCGATTCAACCTTTCCGATGGAAGAGGGAGAAGAAGAGGAGTGATTTGCCGCCCAGGCTGCCGATCGAGTGGCGGAAACGACCCTTGTAGCTTGGTTACACACCTGTACACACCTGTACACACCAGGTCAGCACGTTGCAATAAAGTCCAGCTGGGGCATGTCAGAAATGGCCCAGGGTGCATACGCCTGGAAGCAAGACCGAGGTTCCACGGGAGGAATGACGGAAGACATGCTTGACATCGATGAAAGGGGGCGGGGTACTGTAACGGTCGGTGAATATGTGTAGTGTACTGTATCTGTGGAGATAGAATCCAGAAGAAAAAAAGAAAAAAAGAAAAACCAATGATGGGATTGAAAACAAATTGAAGGAATGCAGAGAGAGAGCCTGGAGTTTGAGAAAGGGGAAAAGAGAGGGAGATCATCCAGGAGACACATCCCTGTCCATACAAACAAAACAACCACTTACTCTCTCACTCACCCACGCCGCTTTCCCTTTCCTACTCCCTCTCACGTTGCACAACAACTTTACCTATCGGCTGCCCCTTTTCCTTCCTTTTCACGGCCTTTGCCGTTCAGGCCTGACTCTCATCCTCACCCTTCCAACTGTCTATCTACAATCATGGCAACAGCGTCTGGAGGTCTCTCCAATTCGCGAAAGGGAGAGGATCTGATCACGGCGACAGGATGCCACCCTCTTGAGATCCCCACGGAAGATAAAGATGGAGAGATGGGCACCCGGCACGACCACACTGATATGACCCGCATGGGTAAGGCCCAGGAATTCAAGGTTGGTAGCTGACAGCTGACTTGCACTGCTGCTCACCCTTTCCAAAACCTTTAAGAATCGAGCCCATTGGAACTTTGACACCATATCTCATCTTAGAGGAATCTCCGACCGCTGGCTGCTCTCAGTTTTGCGTCGGTCCTTCAGGCCACCTGGGAATTTATCCTGATGTACGAACGCCTATGCAACTGTCCTCTCGAAGGCAGACCTAATAGTGATACGCCCTGACAGATCGAATACACAAGGCCTTGAGAATGGGGGAATGGCCGGGTTGGTCTGGACCTATGTGTGGACCTTTGTTGGCTTTGGCTTCATCATCGTTTCGCTGTCGGAAATGGCATCCATGTCAGTCACGCTTCTGTTCCAAAAAGATTTAGGAGATGCGATCTAATATACCTCGCTGAAAGTACAGGGCTCCGACATCTGGAGGACAATACCACTGGGTTTCAGAATTTGCCTCCCCACGCTACCAAAAGTTCTTGAGCTATTTGACCGGTCTGCAACACCTCTTACCATTGAGGTCTGGTTTGTCTCACTAACTTGCATAGGGTGGATGTCTGTACTGGCATGGCAGGCGGGTGCAGCATCTGGATCCTTCCTCACCGGCACTATCATCCAGGGCCTGATCAGCGTACACAACCCAAAATACGAACCCACAAGGTGGCAAGGTACACTCTTTGTCTTTGCCATGATCTTAGTGATCTACTTCTTCAATGTCTATGCAGCGAGCTGGATGCCCCGGATCCAGAATGTGCTGCTCGCTCTGCACACCCTCTGTTGGGTGATTGTGGTTGTCGTTCTCTGGGCCATGGCCCCTCGCCAATCTGCCAGTGCTGTGTTTACAGAGATCAAGACATATAGTGGGTGGCATAATGCGGGGCTGGCCCTCATGATTGGACAAATCTCCGCCATCTATGGGTCGCTTAGCTCTGATGCCACGGCCCACATGTCCGAGGAGGTCCGCGATGCCGGTCGTTATGTGCCTCTAGCCATCGTTGGTGGATATTTCAGCAATGGAATCCTGGCGCTCATCACTGTGATCACCCTGATGTTTGCCATGCCATCGGTCGAGGATGCATTGAATGATCCAACAGGCTTTCCATTCATTTACGTGTTCAAACAGGCCGTCTCCACAGCGGGTGTCAATGGGTTAACGGCCATCATACTTATCCCGGTCATCTTCAGCAACATCCTTTTCAATGCCTCGACGGCCCGTCAGACGTATGCCTTCGCTCGAGACAAGGGATTGCCATTTGCAAGTTGGATCTCGCATGTGAACCAGAGCTACAAGCTACCGGTCAATGCCATCGCACTGTCGTGTATCATCAGCGGGCTTCTTTCTCTCATCAATATCGGCTCCGACACGGCATTCAATGCGATCATATCGCTGAACGTTGCAGCGCTCATGTGGACCTATGCAATTTCAATCAGCTGTGTCATGTATCGCAAGATCTACCTTCCCGATACACTACCGCACCGCCGCTGGAGTCTAGGCCGACATGGTCTATGGGTGAATGCCACCGGCCTAGTGTATGTTCTCTTTGCGCTATTCTGGTCATTCTGGCCCCCGGAGATTCCGGTCACCTTGAAGAACTTCAACTGGAGCATCGTCCTGTTTATCGGAGTGTTTCTGATCAGCGTTGCAATGTACATATTTCAGGGAAGGTGGGTTTACAAAGGGCCTGTTGTGGATGTCAAACGGTTGTGAATCGTCTAGGTCCCTTGGAGCGATCGCTTGGAGCATCTTCTTGGCGCAGACACTCTGTTGACTATTTTCGGCCGATACTGTTCTTGAGAAACAACTTTCCAACATAGGTGCATTGGCATTATGCGGATTTCTAAGCAACGGCTATTTAATTGTGCGGGGATGGTGGCTCACGTGCCCGTGTCCATCTATCCCTGTTGACCTACCCCTCACTTCTACCATCTACGCCAATCGATTGACGCGCCGCCTCGGGCCAACTCTCTCATTTTTAGGGTGAGATCGTAAACATGATCGGTTGTCTCTCGCATTATGGGATATCGATAATGCTGCAATCACTCAAGCCTGCAGGCTCCTCGCGGTATCCGCAGGTTCACCCTCGGTAAGTGCGGGAGCGAAACCCGAGACCCTCTATTTAGCCTTAAATCCTTTGATGAAGTCATCAGGGTCGGGCCTTGAATCTCCAGGCCAACAATAGCACACCCTGATACTTCGTGCCGTCATTTAAAGCTTATGTTTGAATGTATACCAATCGGTCGTCCTTGTAGCCCTATTACCCTTTCCAGATGGCATTGTTTGCGCAGGATTGGGGCCCATTCGCCCCCTTCCGGTCTCTTTCCCCGTTCTAAGCCCTTTTCAATTAAGCCGACCCCTCGCATGTCTAGACGTTCCGATTCCTGGATAATTGAACCAGTTCCCCCCACAAAACCTGCAGGGTGCTTTAAACCGGCAAAATTCTTCGGCCTGGTAATATAGCTCTTCTGCACACCCCGCACGATGCGGGAAAAGTGGTGATGATGAAGAAGAAGCGGACAGCTACATAAAGTCAACCCCATGGTGGAGCATATGTTGCAACCGAGTGCGCTGTTCCCTTCGCCGTGCAAACCTAATAGACGTTCTCCAACAATATGAGGCTTTTTGTCCTGTTGACCTTCGCCTCCCAGATCGCTAGCGCATTGCCCAGCTCTGCGGATGGCGCTTCAGCCCCCACTGTTGACCTTGGATACTCCAAGTATCAAGGTACCCGTCTCGCGGGAGGAGTAGATCAATTCTTGGGTATGCGCTATGCCGCTCCTCCCTTGGGAGATCTTAGATTCCGAGCGCCCCAAGATCCCGTGACGAATGCCACATTACAGACAGCCACTGAGGTATATTCCGCTTCATTTGCTGCATCCAAGTTATGGCTTTGCTCACCCCCAGGTACTAATGGAGAAACCTAGTATGGGCCAATCTGTATTGGGGTCGATCAGGACAACTCCCCCGCTGACTGGACGGAGGATTGCCTTTTCATCAACGTTTTCAAGCCTTCGACAGCTACGCCACAATCGAAGCTGCCCGTATGGTTCTTTATCCAGGGCGGAGGGTATGCACAGAATTCCAATTCCAACTACAACGGCACGGCCGTGGTGGAGGAATCTGGTCACGGACTGGTGTTTGTCACGCTGAATTATCGCGTCGGAGCGTTGGGCTTCCTGGCTAGTGAGGAAGTGCGGAAGAACGGTGACTTGAATGTGGGCTTGTTGGATCAACGCAAGGCTATGCATTGGATCAAAAAGCACATTGCATCAGTACGTACCCCGTGTTTCCCAGGCTATCGCAGGGGCCGCCAGTTGAGACTAACAAAGAATAGTTTGGCGGAGATCCAGACCACATTGTGATCCACGGTGTCTCTGCGGGCGCAGGATCCGTGGCCTTCCACCTCACGGCGTTCGGAGGAAAGGATGAGAAGCTATTTGTGGGCGCTGTGGCTGAATCGTCGTTCTGGCCCACCCAGCGCACGGTCGCAGAGATGGAATTCCAGTACGAGCGGTTTGTCAATGACACTGGCTGTTCCAAGGCGACGAATTCTCTTCAATGTCTCCGAGACCTCGACATCGCGACCATCCAAGGTGCCAATACGGCTTCACCCTTCCCAGGAGGCAGCAGTAGCCCCCTTCCCGACTGGTACTGGCTACCAGTGACCGATGGCAACTTGGTTCCGGAGCTTCTGTACGATGCCTTCAAGAAGGGAAACTTCATCAAGGTCCCGGCACTGGTGGGTGACGACACGGACGAAGGCTCGAATTTCGCCTACAACGCTAGCACTCGCTCTGATGTGTCGCAGTTCTTCAAGAACAACTACCCTCACCTGACCGCGGCACAGCTGGACAGAATACTGGAGGCCTATCCGCAAACTAGCCCGTTACCCAAACATGGAGCCTGGTTCCGAACCTCGTCCGATGCTTATGGGGATGCATGCTTCACGTGCCCCGGCAACCATTTGACCGCATCCGTTGCCAAGCACCTCCCGCACTCGACGTGGAACTACCGAGTCAATATCCTCGATCAGTCGAACCTAGCTGGCGGCATAGGAGTCCCGCATACCTTTGAGCTACCAGCCATCTTTGGTGCGGGCAGCACCGGGGCGCTCAGTAGCACGTCTTCGTATCTCAGCTACAATGCTGGGATTATCCCGGTGACCATGCACTACTTTATCAGTTTTGCCATGAAGCTCGATCCGAATCCTCTCCGATACAACGGCACGCCGGAGTGGAACACCTGGGGTAGTGGGTCACGTCTGCGGCTGCAGACAAACAGCACGGCGATGGAGGAGGTGCCTGCATTGTCGGTGCAGCGCTGTCAGTTATGGGAGGATTTGAGTGGAACAACCGAGGTTTAAGTGGGATGCGACGTCTAGAGAATTCGTCGTCATAGACAAACGTAGAACATCTCTGCACATGTTCTTCAATACAACTTGATGTGAAATGCATGGCATATAATTTGGGCTTTTATCACTTTTATTCTGAATTCCAAGCAAGGTGTTATCAGATGCTTGGCGCTCGTAATGGGAACGCCTCCAAATGCCAATCCCTCAGCCTTACGTCGCGACGATCTCCTTTTTGTCCCGTGTTTGTCCCGTTTCTTTTCTGCCATCTCCCTTCCACCTCTCCTACTTTTATACCTTTGCTAAACTTCTCTATTTTCGAGATACTACTGCTTATACACTGCACAGATTGTTCCCCATCCAGTGCGCGAAGATGAGTGCAGAGACCACGATTGCAGTTCCCCCGCCGCCCGACCAGCCGAACCCCACCGACCGTGACGTCACCGATAAGGAGCAACACGCCGCCCAAACAATCCAGGTTCGACTAAACTTCAATCTTCTCAGAACTCTGTCTGCGTCGCTGACCTACTTCTTTGCTCAAGAGAGTATACCGAGGCTATCGTACGCGGAGAGAGTTACGCGGGCTCGGACTCTCGCAGCACTCACAGAACACATCGCGACTAATCGAGGTAAAATCCCCCCGACCGCATTCCCCGCCTCTTATCCCCCTCGTCGCTGACCCAACCATCCTCAAAAGGCCGTCAAAGAAGCCGAATGGCGTCAGATACACCGACCGTCCGCGCCCAAAGACACCAACGATCTCGACAGCGCCGCCCATGCGCGTAAGAACTGGCTCCGTGCCGTTAGCGTGGCCAAGCGAGCCGGGGGCGACGATGACGACGACCTCCTGCCCGCGCTCCCCGACGAGCCCGCCTCAACCACAACCTCCGCTCAGCATGAGTCTCGCACCTCCACCAGTGCCAGTAACAGCCACGGGCCACAGATTCACCACGACCTCCCCGCCGGCACGACCGCCAAGATGATGGACCTCCAATACTTCCTGGAGATGGTCGACCTGAAACACCGCCACGGCAGCAACCTGCGCGTCTACCACATGTACTGGAAGACCTCGCCCACGCAGCAGAACTTCTTCTACTGGCTCGATCACGGCGAGGGCAAGGACCTCGATCTCCCGCAGTGTCCGCGCGAGAAGCTCGAGCGCCAGCAGGTGCGCTACCTGAGCCGCGAGGAGCGCATGAACTACCTCGTGACCGTCGACACGGCGGGGCGGTTCCGCTGGGCGAGGAACAACGAGCTCGTGTGGACGGACAGTAAGCGGTTCAAGGATAGCCTGCATGGCGTGGTGCCGGTCGAGGAGAACGCGCCCCGGTTCAAGGGGAATGATGCTGCTGCCGATGGCGAGGCGTCGTTTGGAACATCGTCGTCGTCGTCGTCGTCCTCACTCTCGTCGCTCTCGTCGTCAGACTTCAGTACCACGGAGAGTGTGCACGATGATACGATCGGCAAGCATGATACCGATCAGTACAAGGCGGCCAAGGTGGCGAAGAAGTTCGTGCACACCACGCCGGCGACGATGTTGAATGCGCTAAAGGGGAAGTCGTCCAAACGGAAGGAGGATATGTGGATTTTCGTCAGTCACCCTCTTTTATTGAAAATTATATTGCATCACGGTCATTGACAGGGTCTTACCGATGTAGGTGGCCGATACCTCCTTCCGGCTCTTCGTCGGCATCAAAGAGTCCGGCGCATTCCAGCACTCGTCGTTTCTCCGGGGCGCCCGCATCGCGGCCGCCGGGTTGATCAAGATACGCAACGGCCAACTGCGAAGTCTGGCACCCCTCAGGTAAGTTTCCACCACCACCCTCCCCAATATCCGACCGACGGGAGTGAGGAGCTAAACCCAACCGTAGTGGCCACTACCGCCCGCCCGCCGCCAACTTCCGCGCATTCGTGCACTCCCTGCAGGACCAAAGCGTCGACATGTCAGGCGTCTCCATCAGCAAGTCGTACGCCGTGTTGCTCGGCATCGAGGGCTACACGCGCACCAAGCGCAAGGTTCGGGCGCTCCACGAAAAGGCGGATGAGACGAAACACAAGCTCCTGCGCAAGCGGAGGGAGAAGGCCGAGGCGCACGAGCGCGGGGAGGAGACGATCAACAAATCCGATCAGCCAGGGGACGGGGTGCAGAACAGTGCAGGAGGTGCTGAGGTACAGCCGGAGAGTAAGCCTCGCACGATGAATTTGCCCATTCGGCAGAAGTCCTTCCCGGCCGCATGAGGGTTCCATTTCTGTTTGTGGGCTGTGTACGCTTTGTTTGTTATGGCTTCTTTTCACTAGCAGCTTTCTTGATGATTGTGTACTTTCTCATGTGATACTCCGTATACCCCTACTTAGGAATAATACAGGGCTTGATATTCTAGACACGCTTCTGCTTGCAATGGTTATTCTCTTCGCGTGGCCACTATGGAGGATAGGTGGTGGCCTATGCTATGCATGAACCTATTTTAGTGACTATTTCTGTAAATTAGCTCTCTTGTGTCTGATTGGGAGGAGAATTGTAGAATATCCTGTTCTTGTGGCCAATTGATGGCAAATTCGCAGCATATATATTATGCACGTAATTCGGCTGAACATTTTGACTATCCTGCGTGCTGAGCGGTATCCACCACCCTTCACAATTGTATGCTTCGTTCTAACATCTAATCCAGCAGTTACTACAAGATTCCAAAAATCCCTTGCTCTTCACTTAGACTCAAATGACAGTTCAGGAATTTGTCGACTGATGCCAGACATGGACCTGGCGGCCAGGTCACGTGCATCATCCGGCTAAGGGAAAGGGAGCAGTTCCGCCCGCGGAATGTTGGTTTTCCACAAATCTGGATTAATGTACAATACTCGTCAACATCCTGGCAAAAATCCAACAGTCAGGTCCTACTCGAGACCAAGACTTGTCTCTTTGGCGACGGTGGAGCTTGTCTACATACGAGAATTAAAGAATGAAAAGGGGGAGATGATTTTAGCCGGTAGGTCTCCATACGTGACCGTGAGTGTGTGTGCCCTTGTCTGGCCTCGAGGTCCGTTGGATCTCCACTGCCTGGAATGTTAGCTGATTCGATCTAGTAATCTCTGGGTATGGTGGCTGCAGGGCCTTTGCTTTTCCGAATCAGCACTTCACAGCTTTCCAGCCTCAAGAAGGCTTCATATCTGACAACTACGATTATGTCTCTGTGATAACGCTGTACCCTCATCAGCATGGGAGTACAGTATATGCCCATATTCGATTCAAATTTCCGCCCAGAATGCTCCGACCAGCGCATGAAAAGATCACGGGGCGAATGTGGCATGCGTACGAGAGGGGTTATCTGAGACATCCCCGGCTAGTGCCTACCTAGAAGGGCATTGGAGCCGGCGCAAACCTGGTCGGCCGATGTAACCCATCATCCTGGAAGCAAGGAGATGAGGCTTCTCTGTGCCACTTGGCTCGACTAGTAGTGGTTTCTTCTCTTTGTCGGGAATGTCGAACTGGGGCTAGAATTTCCGGTTATCAATCACCGCGTGGTGTGCAGCTGTCATGATCGTTCCAGGTTATCTGATCGACCGCCTTGCGTTTAGGCCGGCCATTTCCAAATCTGCTTTGCGGCTGGTTCGCTTCCTGGTTTTCACTAACAACTCGAGCTTCCTTATGCCACCTGGAAGATATTGCTCCGGATGATACGATGGGTCGCGCTATGGAGCTTAATCGAGTGCGGCCATTTCCTCGCCCGTGGAACATGGTCCTTCGCCGGCGAAGGAGAAATTAATCGCGCAGTCATGCATTGGTTGACAACCAAGCGCGGAGTTCATCAACACTTGGCAGATGATAAGCCTGGCCAAGAGGACGAGCCGGGAAAAGTCATTACTTTGCACAGCTCCACGACGTGCGTCCTTTCCGGAATCTTATCGCGCTATGCTGAAAAAAGGTGCACCTTGCGAGATTATCTGATCCGCTGGGACCATGGACGTAGACGACGATTAAGGATTTGCTGCGACTTCGCGCGGGTGGCTCCCCACCTCAGCCTTATGTTCCCAAATGGCTCGACAAGCGTTTCTTGATCTGCGCTGGGTCGTATGGCACCAGAAAAATCTGCTCAGCCCTACGCCTTGTAGGGCTGAAGAACGGCATCAAATTCACAGGGACTTTTTGGTGTTGTGTTCGGGTGATAATCTTTGACATCAGCGGGATCTGATAAGAACACAGAAAACCTAATGCACTTTTTTCCCCCTTCCAATGGTCTGCTCGGCTCGCTACCGCGACTAAAATCACGCCGTGGAGAAATTTGCAGCACGGACGAGTTGAGTCGAGTTATCTTATGCGGCAGCACCTTGTCATTTCCGAACCTATTCCGGAGGGTCCGGTGGTTTGGAACGTCATCCTCGTCGATAATCAATCAGATAATATGGCAAACTAGTTGGTGAGATTAGCTGCACCACGGAATTGTCGTCTTTGATTCGAGGTTTCCCCTCCACCGAGACCCTCACCTGCAAAACTAGTCTAGGATGCACCCACGGGCGAGGGGAGGGCGATGGCTGACCACCTAACCCTTTTGGCCCGTATCCCCCTCATGATCGGGACAAACTAGCCGAACGCTTAGCCGACCACATTCCAGCATTGGCCGAAAGGTGGATACGGACCGCACAAGAACATGACCGCACAATCAGGCAGCCACTGTTCCTCAAACACCACAAAACATGAACAGAGCAGAAGAAGAATGAAATGATCCTGCGCATAATCTACTATCTCCCTGGGAGAGGATGGATGTGTGAATGGTGTGAAAAATGTAACTTTGCCAACACGAGACACTAGAATCACCAAGGCTCCACCTTGGCTAGGCAGCCGTTCTTTTTTCACCCTGAATCCATAAGGCTAGGTAGGGCTGAACCAAGTTACGAGCCAAGCCGGACAGAATTCGGGCCCACTCTACCCTTTGCCCCCCTAGCAGCGCGTGCTGTGATGACGGTCGGATGTTGTGGGTGGTGAAATGGGAAAATCTGGTCAAACCACTTACCCGGGGCCAGCTGTTAAGTATCGCCTCCCCCCTGGCACGGCGGAATCTTATCTGATGGAAAATATCTGATCGATCAGATAATCTTGTTGCACTTCGGCGTCGCTCTAGCGGAATTCTTTTCCCACCCCATTGGGGCAGAAGTCTGGTCGCCCGCCCCCTAACTGAATTTTCCTCGCGAAAATGGCCACCGATACGAAAGAGATGGAAAAAGAGGTGTATGCGGTGAATAGCGATGACAAGGGTAAGTTTTTCCCCCGACAGAGTGTCTGTGTGACCGTCGGCTTGCACCCAGTACTGGTGCTGACAGCAACAACCTCTTCAGCCGAAGTTGAGTCGCAGACCGAGGTGCTGCGAGCTGCTGGCATTGGTATCTCCGAGGATGATCCGACAGAGCCGGTCTTGACCCTGCGCATGTGGGTGCTTGGGGTTGGCTTCTGTATCGTTGCCAGTGGCCTCAACACCCTGTACACCCTCCGCAATCCGTCCATTACGATCTCAGCCACCGTCGTTCTTCTTCTTGCATACCCGTTAGGAAAGCTCTGGGAAAAGGTCGTCCCTGCTTGGAACGTGCCTTTGGGAGCGTGGAGTTTCAACCTAAACCCGGGCCCGTTTAATCAGAAGGTGAGGGTCTCTTGTATCACAGCGAATGGGACAGGTTGCGTTAACATTCGTCTGCGTTCAGGAACATGTCTTGATTTATATGATGTCGAATCTGAGTATTTACGTCCGTCTAGGCGCGGATGTTCTCACCGAACAACAGAAATTCTATGGGTACAGTGCGGGCTGGGGTTTCCAGACGCTGATCACATTTGGAACCTTCCTCATCGGATTCTGTCTGGCTGGGTTCTTCCGTGCTCTTGTAGTTGAGCCTCGCGAA